TTATTTAGGTTTTCTTTCATCTGCGGACAGACATGCGGTTCGCTTTCATGCAACTCATCGCTAGGGCTAGGGATGTTCAGCTTCGATAGCGGGTTAAACAGCCGAGACTGAATTTGTCAATATTTGACCCAGAATGGCGCCTTTATCCTTTGATTGATAGTGCCGAGTTTGATGGCAGATGCAAGTCTGCTCTGTTGCCAGGACTCCCGTCCAGCCGTGGAGTTGGTGGTCCGTTTTGGATTGGGCCAAGGTCCCAGTCGAGCTGGCACAAAAAGAGAGTCCCTCCTCGAATCATGCAGCCTGAGCCGTCACAAATTCCTTTCAGATTGCCTCGTGCCATTGTCTACTGGCGAGGCGGCAAGCGCTGTTTGTGCAGTTGGGCTCTAGTCGCGGTGGCCACACTCGGAAAGAGCGCTTGCTGCCTCTTTTTGGTGGATTTTGTGCGTCTACGGGCACTGGCCACCCTCTCTCCCTTTAGCATTGTGTTGCCAGCTTTCTCGTCTCTGACCGGCTATTCCCGTGTTTGGCCGTTGGGTTACATTCTCTTCTGTACCCATTTTTCTTTGGTTGGGGTCGTCTGGGTTGTGGCTAGCGTTACTCGGGCAAGAGAGAATGGCTTTGTGTCGGCTGGTCACGCTCCAACCCTCGAACGTCGGATTAGCGACCAGCCGACCTGTCGCCGCCGCGTGTTTGCTGGTCGAAAAGGAATGCCTCCCTTCAGGCGATGGCACTATTTGCCCACTGACCATGTGGAACCTTCCAAGTGCTCTACCGGCCGACAGAGAGGAGGACTCATCTCTTCTACTCGAACCTATGAACAGCAAGATGGCCGATTTGGTCACTGTCTTCCTGCATTGTGCGCCAGTGGTTCGGTCTCGTTTGCGCAAATAGTTCCTGCTGTCAACAGAGCCATGTTGGTCACGATCATGGCTTGGTGCTAGAAGCTGCTGTGGCTACCGTGGCAACTGTGGCTAGGTTGAATTCACTATTTTAGACTACTTAATATACTACTCATGAAGGTCTGGTCGATTGGACGAGGACCAAT